GAGTAATTACTCGAGTCCAGAGCAGATACTCGAGTCTGGACTCGAATCTTAATATGCTGGACTCGCACACCTCTACTGCACACGTTTCAAAGGAAAACTCCGAACAAGGCACACCGAGATCTAGGGGCTTCGGCCTATACTGAACACGAGGTTGCGATAACTTTGTCTAGTGAATAGGGCCTTCCCGAAAACATGGCCTAATCTTTTTTTGTTTGTACCAATGGCCTTATGTTCTGCGCTGTCAACAGCATAGCAAGCGCCGCTGGTGTAGTGGTATCATGCAAGATTCCCATTCTTGCGACCCGGGTTCGATTCCCGGGCGGCGCACGAATTTTTTTTCATTAATAAAAGCTACGTTTTGTAAAACAAGTGGTTATTATTTTGACCTCGATGGGAAGTACTAATTCTTATTTTTTTGAAGAAAACATGGCGGATAGATTCTATGTTAGTTGTTGAAACGTTTTTATCGGATTTAGACGTCAAGTCAACTTAAAAAGGAGCTACTGCCTCTTGAATAACCTCTACAATATATTATGCTGTACAGAGCTCAAATCAGTGGAAGGCCCAGTGATTACAAAAAATACGGTCTCGGTAGGCCTATAATAACAGGGCACAGAGCTTTGTTCGTAAAAATGACCGACTCTACCAAGTATGTTGGTCACCTCATTTGTGCCAAGGATAAGAAATATAATCTCTCGGAGAGGAAAGGGTGTGACGGACGAAAGAGCCGGTTGCAACATATAAGACACTTTTGAAATGGTTTGTGAGCCCAATCTGGTGATTTCTATGCATGATGAAGCCCTTCTGTCCATAATGTCCTTATGCAATTGTGAGCTCCGTAAAACCTCTACAAAAACAAAAACAAAACCCTTCTGTCATTGTATTGTAACGATAATCTTATTCGAGATTAAAATTAAGCCTATTGGGGGCCTAAACAATAATTAACATAATTTGACAATTAGAACCTACAATCCCAACACCCGTTTGAAACAGTCGCTTTCCCTTTGAATACATCACTATTACAAACAACACTAAAAGAATAAAATAAAATCAAAGTAAATAGGCCTAAATTGTTTTTGGCCAGTCGTTGCCACCCCTACCTCCGACCCTTCCCCTGGCAAAAAACACGAACACACACACACAAACACACACACACACACACACACACACACACACA